GGACCTTTTGGTGTGCATTTGTGAGAGGTCACCAGATTTACAGGGGAAAAGGAATAAAAAAAATACTTGTTTTTCAATACAGTTGTGTGGGTTTGAAATTGATCATGATCTGCTGCTTACTGGCTTCAAAAATAAATAAATAAATCTGGCCCAGATAAATTCCTCGGTTTGAAAATCTGGCCCAACTAACTTCGTAGTTGAATAGCCATGGTGTAGAGTTTATGCCCTTACCCTTTACTGAGGCAAAGTAAAGGTAGGGGAGTTGTTTTCTTAGGGGGTCGCCTGTCTGCGTGTTTGCTTTGGAACCGATATCACGGATGCGCCTCCCTTCCTCCCTTTGTGAGACAAAGCAGGTGGTGTACTAATCTGACTGGAGTACCCTGGCCAGGGATGAGTCAGTGGGGAGAAAAAAAAAACATTTTAAGGAATTTTTTATACAAGGTCAGATGACTTTCACAACTGCTGACAGCCAAATGACTACCTTTGTGTGTTGCAATGGTAAGTGACTTGTCACGGGTGTGACATGTAACTCCCTTGTGTGAGCAGTGGCAGTCCTAGCCTGTTTGGCGCCCCGGGCGAACACTCCCTCTGGCGCCCCCCCCACACACAAAACATATTAAGGATTGTACATTAACATAAAACTGTTGTCAGAATCATACTGAATTTCACCAGAGACACAAACACACATATGAAGAGAGTATGCATTGTATGCAAACGGCTACCAAACACCCATCATAATTCGTCATACAATGAGAACAGGACAAATCAACAATTGACACTGACTAATTAATATTAAAATCTGTAACATAATGTATTGTTTGGAGTTTAGTCTGTTACTGTTACTGTTTTTTACCATTTCTCTTTGGAGCAACTGTAACCCACATTATTTCCTTAGGGATTAATGAAGTATTCTGATTCTTTCAGGATACCTGCCATTATCCAATGACACATCTGCTTACCTGCATCTTTTGCTCGTTTCTCCTCCTCTTCTTTTCTCTTTTTTCTAAACTGAGCACCTGGCTTTGAACTTTTCTTGTCCATCTTCCATTGGTTTTAATTTTGCACTCCAGTATGAACACAAATCCCCCAACTCGAGGATCACCACAACATAGCCTAATAGACCTACACCTAGTTCACAGATTCACTTTCTCTAGGGTGCATTTCTGGGATTTCACACAAGCCAGGATTCAGATCATGAATACATAATGGGCTTGGATTTACATCATTATGAATGAAATGTGCTCTATCTGGAAGCAGCCGGCCCCCCTCCCCTGTCGACAGGTTGTGTGTGAGATCATCAAACTGTAAATTATAAATTTTAAATTGTTATTGATCCCTTTACCCCGAGTCCTAAAGTGTGTATTTATTTTCTTACTCTTCTTATATTTATTGTTTGTTTACTTGCACTGCTGTAACTGGAGCCTCGTCGTCTCGTCTCTCTATATACTGGACTGTATGTAGCGGAGATGACAATAAAGTTTACTTTGACTTCAGCAGCGCGCAGGCGCACCGAGAGCTCTCGCACTCACTTTTCGCGTATAGAATTTCGAAAAAACACCGGTGCAAATTATAAGTCTGTCTCATAAGGTCTCGTGTTTTCGTGTTTGTTGGTTTGTTTTTATTTTGTTTTATTTTTTGAGTTGGTTATTAGATGCTGCTCCAGCCAGCCACAGAATCCCCCGCCGCCCTGGTAACTTAATATATATAATATATATATATATATTAAGTTATATATAAAGGAGGTCACATAGGCCTATAGGCCTATGTGACCTCCGGCACATTTCCAAACTTTCTGTCGCGTTAGTCATTTTTAGATTTTTAGCCTTTTTAGGATTATTTGAACTAGACAGTAGCTGAGTCCACTCTACCCTACTCTGCAGAAGGCTGAGACAGCATGATTAGGCTTAGTCCAGCTTATCTAGCTAATGCTTTCTGTTTGAGTGTGTTTTGCTTGTCAGTGTTCCTTTTTTTTCTTTAGAAACATTGCTTTAAAGGGAAATGCTTTGAATCTGGCCGCCACAGAGTGACTCAGAGAATAGCTCATTCTGGAAGTAAGCACTGGATTAATTTACTCTGTGAGTCATCCAGAAATACCTCGGAATTTTATTGCCAGTCACGATGGTGCTAGCAAGAATAATAGTGTTTACTCTATTATTGCATGTTTAAAAGTTCAAACCCTGTTGAAAATCTGGTCTTTTGTTCTAGTATTTACAATCAATGGGAAAACTTTGCACTCCATCCATCCATCCATTCGCTTATCCTTTTCAGGGTCGCGGGGGTCGCTGGAGCCTATCCCAGCTGTCATGGGGCGAGAGGCGGGGTACACCCTGGACAGGTCGCCAGTCTGTCGCAGTGCCAACACACAGGGACAGACAACCATTCACACTCACATTCACACCTAGTGACAATTTGGATTAATCAATTAACCTATCCCCACAAGCTGCATGTCTTTGGATGGTGGGAGGAAGCCAGAGTACCCGGAGGGAACCCACGCAAACACGGAGAGAACATGCAAACTCCACACAGAAAGACCCCTGATGGTGGAATTGAACTCAGGACCTTCTTGCTGTGCGGCAACAGTGCTAACCACCGTGCCACCGTGCTGCCCGACTTTGCACTCGATCACAATTATCTGCTGCAAGTGTTTTTTGCTTTTGGATTTCTTTGATGTGATCTACTGGAAGAAAAGACTATAATCTGAAGAGGACATGCTGTCCTGGCTCCAAGTTAACATAAATTAGTAGGGTAGCCATGGGACCTCCCACAACCATCCAGAATGAGACGAGGGGACGGCGAACATCTATGCCCTGTCAACGGAAATCTGTCATGGTTGTCCATTCCACACCTTCGGGGGACGAGGTTAGGTGCAAGAGTTATTCAATAAATTTAAGACAGTGAGTTTTGTTTTCCAAACTTTTTTCCCCCCAAATGTCTTTGTAAAGTCAAACCTGAAAGTTTTGTGATAAAAAAAATCTTACAAGTTGGTCACACACAGTCTTTTCCAGTCTGCCCTTGTGTGATAATATTATGAATGTGACATTTTTCCGAGCACTTACTCCCAGAACAAAATAGTCTTTGACCAATCAACCGTATTCTTATTTTGACTAAGTCCTGATGTGGCCTTTCCAATGATGTCTCATGTGTTTGGGTGGTCTCTTTTAGCCCCAGTGAGGCAGGGAATCACAAAAGTTAGTTAAACTGAAAGTTTTTTCTCAGTTCTCAGGAGACCATATTTACATTATCCCTGTACTTGTGGGCTGTATTACGAAGTACTGATTTAATAGGGTGTTTCATATTTTGATTTCCAAAAAAAGGACACTTGGCCCAGTCATGAAGAACTTTAATAATACTGTTTGCTTAAAGAAAACGTTAACATATTTAAACAATGCCTTCTCTGTGCGGTTAATGAATGGTGAAATAAAAAATGTCATGTAAGCTTTTAGTCAACAAAAGTCACTAAAAGCTAAGTCAACAAGTTCAAAAAAATGTTTGCTCCCCCAAGATTTACCATGTAGCTGCTTTTCCTCCTGTGTTTTTCCCACCATTCAGCCATGACCTAATTTAGCCTCAGGGAAGCTGGAGTCTATCCCAGTGAACTGAAATGACCTTCATGAATTTGCAAGCACACTAAAAATGCACTTTTCTTTCCCCTTCCAGCCAGATACAGACATGATGCTTCCTCTCCCAGATATCATGCTAGGGACTTTTTCTGACCTTAAAACAGCAAGGCAACGCCACAAAAGCACAACAGACTTTCCTCACCAAAGCAACATTTCTTTGCTTCCCTCTTATACTCATTGTCTTATAGATAGAGAACAAGACCTCTTGCGTCGTTGCTCACTCGGGGAGACCAAGAGTCTTTCACGCTACCCTCGCCATGCCCTCAGCATGCCTGAAATCGGCTGCATTAGTCCCCTTCATGTCATTACCCACAGTCCGCTCCACAGCACGTCGCTCTTACCGGCAAAAAGCAACATATCCAGCCCTGCTAGAGAGATGGAGAAGCTTGCAAAGGCCATGAGTAAACTTCTAGAGAGTGAAAGTAACCAAACCCCTACCATCACTCCAGAAACAAGAGAACAACTTCGCTATGTCGCCAAAGATGGAAAGTGCCGAGTCAACCTTTGTCATATTTCAGAAAGGGGCCGTTTCCTGTCTGATATCTTTACTTCTTTTGTGGACCTCCAGTACAGATGGTTCTTATTTGTCTTCATGATGTGCTACATTGTCACCTGGTTTTTCTTTGCTGTGCTCTACTTCTTGAATGCTTTCTTTAGAGGTGACCTAGAAAAGGAGAACCCACTCACCACCCCTGAAGAAAACCTCATAGACCACGCACCCTGCTATTTGGGTGTAGATGATTTTATCTCTGCTCTTCTTTTCTCAGTGGAGACACAGCGCACCATTGGTTATGTATCAATGGTGTCTCCCAGCACAGTGTCTCCCAGCTGCCACGAGGGTGTGGTGCTGGTCATGACGCAATGCATTGTTGGGTCCATGATAGATGCTCTCATGGTAGGCTGCATGTTTGTTAAAATATCCCGACCCAAGAAGCAAGCGGAGACACTTCTTTTTAGTCGCACTTGTGTCATTGCTAACCGGGATGACCAGCTCTGCTTGATGTTCCGCCTGGGAGACCTCAGAGAAAGTCACATGGTGGACGCAAAGGTTCGTGCAAAGTTAATCAAGTCCCAGCAAACAGCAGAGGGAGAGTTCTTGGCTCTCGAGCAGACAGAGATTAACCTTGGTTATGAAACTGGCTCAGACCGACTTTTCCTGGTGGAGCCTCAAGTCATTCGGCACAATATTGACTGCGACAGTCCGCTGTGGGAGCTGGATCCAGAGCAACTCAGAAGACAGCAGTTTGAGATCATCGTTATTTTAGAAGGAATTGTTGAGGCCACAGGTGAGTAATTGACATTCAAAAAGAAACTACTCGTACCTCCAAAAGTCTCATTTTAATATAAAACAACTGCAAAAAACTTTACTTTGACTTTGTTTTTGAGAATAAGATGGGTTTTTTTTTGCAAGAATGTCATAGGAGGTGAGAGAAAGCATGTTCAGTGAGAAGAAGCATGGGATTTCCACATAAAAGCTGTGCAAGTATAGAGAAATGATTAAAACTCCATCCAGAGCAACCCTCTCAATCTGAGGCTGCAGTGCTAACCATTTACCCCTGCACTGCCAGTTAGTAGCCTCATTAATAATAGTTTTCAAGAATTAGGAAACTGGGATGCAATATTCTCTCAGTCATTGATTTTTTCCCTTCACTGTAGGGCTACAGAAGAAGGATTTTTTTTGTGGACCAGACATTTAATGATTGCCAAAAAAACCACACCTGAAAAAATCTCACCCACCACTTTTTCTGGAAGAGGGCTTGGTAAAATTCTGTAATACTTGAACTTGGCTATAACTAAGGTTTATGCTCATTATTTACAGCTGTTGACTACACCCAACCCCATGGTTCTCATGCAGTCATTACAGTTCAGTTTTACCCTGCTCTTTTGCTGTGTATTCACATACTGTGTGCACTCTTTGACACACAGAAACCTTGGATACCCCTACGATTTTGCAGACACAGCCTAGAATGTTGCTGCAGAAACTTCAGGGGCCCATGTGAGGGTTATTTGCGATAGTGTTCGTTTCCTCCTCCTCTGGAAGTTAAACACTTGCAGATGTTTCTTATTCTTTGTTTACTGTTTCTCCACAAAAATGTCCTTGGTGCTGGCTGCACAGCTGTTATTGAATGTGGATAATCAGGTCAAATAGAGAAATGTTATAATGTTTAAAGAACTCTTCATTTGGGTCATGGTATAAATAGTTAAGAGTTAGTAAGTATTAAGAAGGTTTATTTATAGGTTAAAAGGTTTTTAAAAAGCAATTTCCACTGAAACAGCAACAACAAGCTTTCCCTTATTTAATTTCCAGCCTTCTGAGCTGTAAAAGCACACCGAGGTTGAGTGTCACAAAAGATAACAGACTTTGATGAAGCATCTGATGAGTAAACTGTGCAATTCCCTAAAACTATGATTGTTTATCAAGAGCAAGTCTGTCTGCCAAGTTCTAAATCTTGGAATATTTATATTTATGAGAAGGCCAACAAGTCATTCAGTTTCCTGGGTAAATGATGGGAAACTGTCTTTCCACAATGCAGTCAGAATGTAAATATTTAACAGCTTATTTGGCATCTTTTTGGTATGGAAAGCAGGAAAACAAACCTTGCAGAAGGTTTTTTATAGAAAAAAAAATCACATATCTACATCTGAGTTTCCTTTCCCATGTAGTGCTCAAGCTCAACTGCATCATTCTGAAACTATTAGAGTGGTGACAATATCTGGTATTGTCACCACAGATGTTTTTTAGGCTTTTTAAAAAACAAAAAAAGTTTTATTTCTATTGGTTTTTTTGAAACCCTTTTTTTTCTTCTTAATTTTAGACTTTCCATTGTGGAAAAAAGTGAAAAATAACACACCAAAAACCCAAACTTCTGATACTGCTTTTTTTGACGTGGTTCCTAAAGATTCTAGATAGTTTTCTTGCAGCAAATTATGACCTTGTGGTTTGTTTCATACATTCTTCAGCAACTGTGAAAAATAAAGTGCCCGCTCTTTTTATATGCTAGTCCATAATAAAAATCAATCAATTAAGACGAATAACAACAGACACATATCACATGGTATCATGCTGTGTCATTGTTTATTTAACAAAAACTGAAGCAAAATCTAGAAGCAGTGTGTGAAAAATTGAAGCTAGGACTGCAGGTACGTGTTTAAACACAGCTCTTGCAGAGCTCAAGCACAACATTTCAAACATGTTAAGGTCCAGACAAAATAAGTTGCATAGTGAAGGGCCACTGCAATACTGTGGGTTTTTTTTTTCTATTCTGTTTCAGATTTGGCTGCTGGGCTTAACACCCTGATCTTCTTGCATTACCTAATATGGGTAAAGCTTTAGCTGTCAGACAGCTGGTACTATATTTTTCACCCACTACTTCTGCATTTTGGCTCATTTTTTGTCACATAAATAATGACACACTGCAATAAATCATCATATTTTCCTTTATTCTGGAAGGAATAGACCATTTTTTTTATTATAATGTGTCAAACCTTAGACTTGAAAGAAAGTGTGATTTCTTTTTCACATGACTGTACAGTAGGTATTCAAACCTTTCGGTGATGCTATCTTTACAAGATAGCATCAAGTTCAAATAGAAACTGTTCTTCCGGCTAAAGTGTTTCCAATCTCAGTTTAAAAGAAAATATAATTTCTTATGGTGAAACTCTTTAGGAACAACAAACAAACTAAATAATTTGTACATAGATATTTCTAGTAAAATCAAAACCTTCCTTTCCCCCCCAATACTTTTGCTGTTGGAAATTGTTAATGTCAATGTCAAAATAAAGCTCAAGAATTTAAAAAAAATTATTGCAAAAAAATAAATAAATAAATCAGTATCACTCATCTAAATTTGGCCAGTTGATACTTTTAATGACAAGTTCCTACTTTCTTATTTTGGTAAGTTCGAATGGATTCAAACACACCAGAGACATCTTGTGGCAAATGATGCGTACTTCAGTTTAAGACGGTGATTTCACTTCACTTCAAAACTAACAGGCACTTCCATGTCATTATTTTAAACACAGGGATGATGTGCCAAGCCAAAACATCCTATATTGAAACAGAGATTGAGTGGGGCGCTCGCTTTGAACCATGCATGACGCTGGAGAAGGGCTCATTCAGAGTGGACCTGCGTCGGTTCCACACCACCTACAAGGTACCACTACCTAACTGCAGTGCCAGCCAGGCACACCAGCTAATGGCTCTGGCTGACTGCAAAGTCCAAAACCACAGAACCAGCCAAAACTGGGAAAGCTGGGCAGAGGGAATGACCGAAGAAGACAAAGACAAGCAACCATCCCATGGAGGATTCACTATTGCTAACATTCAGGAGGAGAGAGCATCAGAAGGCAATGAAAGTGAAGAGGGTACCGAAAAAAGCACGCCATAAGACATTTTAACCTTTTTAAAGCTGAATTGGTCATAAACACTTTCTCAGTATGAAGCTTTTTTTCTTTTTTTTAAAAGATGATACCAGCATTTCACTGTAGAAGAAGGGCAGGTGTAAATATACATAATAAATATTTTGAATTGACTATTTGCTAAACTTTATCCCAAAGTATTGTTGGCACACAGGTCCAGCTTTAAACTATAGCAATACACATAGAATTTTACAGCATAAATGCTTGCAGATTTACTATTCTTAGTAAAGTTGAAGTACCAGCAGATTCTTGATTTTAGTTGTTACCAAAATGTCTTTTTTCCTCGTCTATGGCATGTCCAAAACAAACCTGCGTTTAATCTCATGCAACTAAATAAATAGCAGCACCGTATTTCAGCATTGCAATGTTGTGTTAATCACTCCCTGTGGTTTCGGAGGAAAGGGCAAGAGCAGACCAATGTTCCCTCTAATTTTTCATGTGTCTGAGCGAACACACAAACTCCCTCAGCGGTCCCTTGGACCACTGTGAGCAAAATTAGACGTGTGCACTGAGCAAGTTACATGGTTTATTAAAATTACAGCATTTACATTTATGTTAGACTACTTTTAATTAACTGCTTATGAAAATGTAAAAAAAAAAATCTTGTTCATGACCTTGTTATTGGAAGTAAAAATAACTTGAACTCCAATTTTGAAAACACAACTTTCTTTTTTTAAAATTTTTAATAAAGCTCTGACTTGTATTATGAGTCTGTGGTCTGGGAGAGAGTCCTGTAACTCTCTGTCTGCAAAATACAGTATATAATGAGCAATGCTGGGCAATTAATTATATAGTTACTTCATCAAAAAAGTAACTGAGTAATTCAAACAAAGTTTTTTGCAGCTGTGTACCTAAAAATGCAGCCAAAGCGTTTTTTAAATAAACATTTCAAACTATTTACAGAACAATCAGATGTTCTGCATCAAATTGACCCTGTGCACGAGAAAATGCTAACTTCCTGGTTTGAGACCGGATGTGGGGTTATACATTTCCGGTAGCTTTAGTTTGCGGTCAATCGCTACTGCGAAGATATACTCCAAAATCATGTCCAAAACTCGAAAACGGAAAGATCCACCGAAAACGGTGGGAACACTCACTACTGTTGTGTCATAAAAAATCTAATGATCAATTTTGACATTTAAAGAGTTTAGATCGATCAGTTGTTTACATCACTCAACACAAGCAGAACTGCATTACTGCATGCAGATGACACCTCGTCCACATTCAGAAGCACATCTCTGTATAGTGACTGGTCTTATGATTTAAACAGGCAAATGTTCAGCATTCAAACTACAGGTGAAGAATAGTCAAACCAGATGTTTCCCGTTATGTCGATATCAGCTAGTCAAGTACACACCCACACAGCATGTTAACAAACCATGAAAAAAAGCCACACAAAAAATTAATGACTGCTGGTAACGGTTTCTATACATTAGTATGTACGAAGCGTACGTTGTGACTTACCTTAAAAATTACAGTGGTCCCTCGCTATAACGCGGTTCACCTTTCACCTCGCTGTTTCGCAGATTTTTTAGTGCAAGTTTGCATGTTTTTTTTGTTTTTTTACATCACATTGTGTCCTGCGTCCTGATCGCTGCAGACGATCTCCTCCGTGACGTCTCTCCTGTACAGTACAGAATCGCTGCATCGATCGCTAGCAGTGTGACTCTGAAGTGCAGTACCGTATGTCCACGATGTCCACCAAACGTTTTGCACCGTCAAAAAATAAAATTGGCTACTTGATTTCACCTATCGCTGGTTATTTCTAGAACATAACACCCGCGATAAACGAGGGACAGCTGAGAAATATAACATTTGAATCCATTTTCTCTTTTGCCCTGAGGCGCGGGGAAAAAATATTGACAAGTTGATGAACATCATTTACACATATATTGGGATATATTGGGTAAATGCCCAAGACATCTATAGAAATGTAAATCGCCGCTTGATGCATTCATTTGCTTAACTTGTTTTGGACTGTAAACAGGGCGCGAATAGGACACCGGAAACAAAGCTCCCCACAGGAGTTTCCGCACCGGAAGTAGCATATGCTAACGTGCACATAGTCAATTTGATGCCACACAAATTATTTGTGCCACTCCAAAAAATAATTTCTGTCCACTATGAGATAAAGGAGAACAACAGCCTGATACCTGCAGGCCTGACAACAGGAGATGTATCACTCCTGTAACACCTGTAACATTTAGTCACCTCATTGTTCTGACGCACACAACAAAACTATTGACTACACTACACACTAACTACACAAGATTTGCGCTAAACGTCGCAAATCTCTCACACCTCAAAACACCGCCGTCACTCCTAAAACTTCCCCCTTCCTAAACAACTAAATGGCATGTTGCCATATCATTTCTGATTGGTCGACATGGTACATTTTTCCACCAATACGAAAGGGTGGGGGGTTTTTTTGGTTTGTTTTTGCTCACAGGTTGGGCTTGACGTGGATAAAAAAATCAGCCCGGGCATTTTGACTAGAGACCGGCCCACCAGGTATTATCCGGTTGTTCAGTCTGACGTCACTAGCCGTGTCTGTACCTAAACTCCGCTGCAGGTCCGTATATCAAACGATCACTATGGCATTACTGAGAGTTGAAAAACTGTCTAAAGTCTTTCATCTTTAATAAAATGATCAGCGTTCTGCTCTACCAGGTGTAACAACTGAGTTTAACATCCAGGCATCCATGAAAACGGAATTTATGACATTTAGAAGTTAGCAGGGCGTTAGCTCGCTAGCTTCTATCTAAATACAATATAGCATGTCCTGACTGCGGGGTTTTGGAAACAAATTAAAACGTACAGCTCTGTTATCACTTCCAGCATAAATGAAGACAGAAAACTAAAAAGCAGTGACATTTGTAGGGTTACTGAAGTTGGGCTAGCTGGTACATAATGATGTGCTACGTGACCGCTAGCGACACAGCTATGTTAGCATAATATAAACAAGCTAACTTTTTTTCCACTCAATAAAAGTTAACGTAAGTGTTCTCTGTGGTCAGGAACAAATGTAATCGCATTGTAAAAGGACCAAACTTCAGCCAGGAGAACAACTGAGATAATCCATCCACAATACGAGGTTAGTCATTCATATACTGCTGCATGGGCTGGGCTGTAGTTACATCCTAAGGTTTTAAAAACTGAGCTTAAATAAATGATTAGCGGTAATAAAAGCCGAGGGAGGTCAACAGGGATCACTGACTGTTTTAGGAGCTTTTTGAGATCAAATAGAAGAAAATACATAACATTAAACATGTTAACAACACAAAAGCCATATTAAACGCAGACTACTTTAGGCCTGGAAGTAGGATTCGTTGCGTCATCACTGAACAACCGGATAGGAAAAACCATAAAGCCTTTGAATGAAAACAAACGCAGTTGTCACAGTGATGTACACTGTCTTGTTGGTATATATGTCTCAATCTAATAAACTTAAACCTACACCGTCCTCCCTATTCTGGTATTCTAAACAGTACTTAGCTGAAACCCAAAGACTGCTTGGTTGAGTTAACCTCCTGAACTATCTACAACATATGGTGGAAACCTGAAATTAAGACAGAGAAGACTAGAGGTGAGACATGATCATTACTGAATATTAAAAATAATAAATGACAGATTTAGTGACATTTTCATAAACTATTTACCACATCAATAAACAGCATGGAAGGGCAAAAAAAAATTTTCTAACATGGGAACCTTTAAAAAGTGAAAGGAGACAGAAAAACAGGTGAGAAAGAATAAAACTTAATTGACTTTTTGATGGCATTTTACACAAAGTACTGGTACAGAGTAGAAAATGTGGGAAAATACTGGCATCGTGTACAGTACTTTCTCCTGAAGGAATTATGTTGGGACCCTGAAAAAAATTACTATGTACAATAATGGATTTCTATACATTTGACATCAGATGAAAACTTTGGTTGTAAGATTCGGATAATTATTTGTTAAAAGCTAGAAATTTGGTGTTATTTGTCTCTCAGAAACAGTTCATAACTTTCCTTCAACTCATTCATGTCACCTAAAGGGTAAACCTGTTTCTCCATTACCTGTTCAGCTCTGATGATTCAGTAAGGACATCTCCTGGTTTCATCTTCATGTTTCTTCAGTAACTCTGAACAGGGGCAATTCTAGGATCAGAGCTTTGGGGGTGCTGAGCACCCAGAGAGCTGCCCAGCCAGGCAAGGTAAACTTTACTCGTCA